ACACACACACACACACACACACACACACACACACACACACCTCAGCATCAATAGCAGTAAACAGTGTGGTATAGCAGCATGCCAGAGGATGTGCTAACTCACTGCTTAAGCTGCCAGAGTGGGTGTTAGATGTCCGGGAAACAATGCCATTTTGTGTGCACGCTGGTAAAAAAAAAAAAAAAAAAAAGAGCGTGGGACTGCGAAACAATGGCATTCTGTGAGCATCTCTGTCAACAAGGTGCTTTCGGTAGAAAATCCAGAGCCAGCATCGGGAGAGAGAGAGAGAGGCCGGGTAATCAAATGATATTACATGGTATCATGTTGTAAAACGCAGGGTTTATTTCAGTCAATCACAGGGACGGCTTAGAAACATCAGCAGCTATGGCAACGACAGCTCATTTTCATTTGACAAAGGTACAGTAATGCACACAGGAAGACACAAGTCATCCTGTGTGCATTAGGTGTCACTCACACCATTTAATTATGTAATTATAATTAGTATGATAGAAAAAAGTGTGTGTAAAAAGTGTTTAATGGAATACAAATGAGTATGTGCACAAGTAAATATATTCAAATATCTCTGTGTTTTTTCTGTGTGCAGTGAAAATGATGCATCATCAGAGAACGAGCAGCTGTTGAGCCGTAGCATTGACAGTGACGAGGAGGCGGCGTCTGACAAGCAGGCATCGGCCGACACCAACAATCCCAACCTGTGCCTCGTCAACCTGGGAAACAAGCCCGACCTCTGCCTGCTCTCTCTGGGCCTCTTGGAGCGGGACAGATCCTGCAACGGGGCCCCCACCATGTCAGCCAGACCGGCCAACAACATCCAGAGTCCCAACCACATCGGCAATGTCAACCACATCGCCAGCACCAACCACATCAGCAGTGTGAACGCAATCAACAACAACAATAAAACCCCAGGGGTAAGAAGATGAAGCTTTTAAAGATGTTGCATGAGTAAAAGATATGATTGTGAACAGATCCTCAGTTGAGTTTCATCTGGAAATCACATCATAATGTTTTTTTTTTTTACACAGATGCTTCAGAGCCGAAGGAAAAAGATCCTGGATCTGTATGGCAGAGCCTGCAATGTGACAGAGGGTAGGTCTCTCTCACACTGATGAAAATATCCATCTTACCAAGCTTTGTAATCGAGAATGGATTTCTGTCAACACTGTGGGAGTATTTCGCTTCAGATGAACTGCTGACGATGACGCGAAGTGAAGTGAGAAATGATATCGTCATTTTCAAGAAAAAACGCTTTTGGAAGTGAAACTGCTCTCAAAAGCAGTCATTACCTCTCTCTGCAGGCTTATTTTTTAACAATGAAATCAATCTCACCATCTCAGTTTAGCATGTTAAGCATGTTAACTTCATAATTAGAGTTTTGCAAGTATTTAGTCACAAAAAAAAAAAAAAGTTCACTAGAGGAAAAGTCACTAAGATATCCTCTGGAGACTTTGAATATTTGTGCAATCCATTCAATACTTGTTGTGATACCAAAGTGGAGAGACGATCAATCCATACAGCCAAACCACTAGCAAGGCTAAAAAAAGGACATTTTATCTCAATCTTGATGTGACTGAAAAACTAACACTCCTGTCCCTCTCCAGGCCTGAGCCCCACAGAGCTTCCTTTCGACTGTCTGGAGAAGGCCAGCCGCATGCTGAGCTCCTCCTACAGCAGCGAGGCGGCCGTGGTGAAGACGTGGAGGCATCTGGCCGAGAGCTTCGGGCTGAAGCGCGACGAGATCGGCGGCATGAGCGACGGCCTACAGCTCTTCGAGAGAGTGAGCACGGCGGGTTACAGCATCCCCGACCTCCTGACCCGCTTAGTGCAGATCGAGAGGCTCGACGCCGTGGAGTCGCTCTGCTCGGACGTTTTGGGAAGCGGTGAGATGAAGGCGGCTGCTGGACGGCAGGGCAACAGCAGCTTTCACAGCCAGTTGGTCTGTCCATCCCCGGGCCAATCTCCGTCCCAGCGCTGCGCCAGCGTCTAAACATGATGTGCTGGAGCAGAGACTTGAGAGACTTGGATGCCTTACAGTATATACATGTATGTAAGGACAGATACTGCTCTGACGAAGAGGACAGCACATATGCAGTATACACCTTACGCCCCATCACATGAAGAACGTCAGTGGACCTCCCAGTGCACAATCATTTCTTTCCTATTACGGGTTTTCTCTGCCACGAAGCGAGTAATCTGAATTACTTTGCATGGCCTTAATGTTCCGTCTTTCCAAAGTGCAAGAGTTGAAGAAAGACACAAATCAGCCTAATGATTGAGATTACTCTCTAGTTTTCTAATTCAGATATTTTCTCCTCTGAAAGACTCAAATAATCAAATAGTTTCAATTTCATCAGATGCTTGTCTGTCTCAACGGCTAAAGAATTTGCACAAAAAGAAAAAATAGCTAGATTAAGTGTGCACTGGACGCAACACAATCACAGCTTTTGCTGCCTTTTTCCCCAAAAGTTTTTATAAAAAATTTTTGTATGCAGTTAAAAAGAATCATGTGAAAAGATGCAATGGGGTGCTGATAGAGCTCCACTGCAGAAGTGCCAATTAAGTGCCTTTCTTGAAGGCATGCTGCATTGTAAGCGGAAGGAATGAATTTGCCTGATTAGTTGTCCTCTCACTGAACCTTCTGATCAAGGCAAACATCTTCAGTAGATGTTTGTGGCAGCATAAAGAAAGCGACCTGGTAGGACCGCAGCATCAGTTAACATTCATTCTGTGACCGTGCCTTTGGCTGTGCTGTCATCATAGTGGACAGACAGCAGATATGAGTTCCCTATTTAAAATGCAATCATTATGTCCAGCTGGAAATGGTAAAACATCACTAAGATCACACACACATATTGATATACAGAAAATAAATGAATCCAAATGTTAATCCGAATCAATGCATGAATACAGAATTACTCTGCTACTCACGTTCCTCCTAAATCCACTTTCCCCAACATTAACACACACAAAAACCAGCATGCTCTAACACCAACTACTTCCATTGACCCACTCTGTGACCCCCCTCATAATTCTTCCTCTCCCCCCTTATTACCCTTTTACCTCAATGCTGCGGTCTAGTGTTGCCGCCAGCCCTAATTATTTGGCGTGTGGCCCCCAATAGTCTGAAGTGTTGTGGTTTACAGAGCGGGTGCAAAGTGCCTGTGATTTCCAGCACCCAATTAAGCATTTAGGGCCACTTAACCACTGAAAGCCCAGTGGAAACGCTGTAAAAACCCTGCATAAAAAAAAAATAAAAAAAGAGATGCCATGGCAGAGGCATGGCTAACTGCCCCCGGGGTTGCTCCACAGTGAACGGTGCAAGAATGAGGCCCGTCGTGGTGGAAGCAGCGCTCCGGTCGTCCCATAACGTCTGACCTTACTCAGCTTTTGCGGTCATGCTCAGACAGGATTTAAGCTCCCCTCTCCCCTATGGGACCAATATGGCAAATGAGGACAATATGCAGTTGTGCGGGTTGTCCACCTCCTAAAAGCAGCTGAAGACGGTTAAGTGTTGTACGTGCAGAAAATGAGGGTGGCTCCGATAAGCATCGAGTTTAAACGTTGTGAGGCGCGCCACATTGAAGCCCATGTGAGCCATGTTAGTAGTTGTGTTGTTAATGGGTAAGAACCTATAGGTTATCGGCTCGCCGTCTCTAGCAGTTTGACTTCAAAACTCAGCAGTAAGCTCAAAAGTCTAACTTTAACAAGCATTGCCAAGACATACTTTGATCCCTTTTCTCAGAAATAGAACTGATCTTTATCTGAAGTCTGATGTTGTCAGCGTAACATCCCACAACCGCTCTGCACCGAATCAAAGACATTGCCCGCTGCCAAGTTCTTTTTCAAATAGTCGTTTGTTCATATTTTACCTTGCAAACTCTGGGGCTGGTCTCCAGTACTCTATATTAATTAGTGTGCATGTTCATCAAGCATGTATTTAAATTCTCTTTGCTTTAAAAAAAAACAAAAAACTACCTTCTTTGAGCAGAGTTGCCTTCATCAAAATCCAAGTTGAATTAGTTATTGTTGTGATCTTTTGTAAATAATTGAATAGGTGCATTGAATTGAAATTGTTTGGACCCAAACCCTTGCGTCAGACGAGCGAAATCTTCTCTGACAGATGTATTATGCTGATAGGATGATATGCAGAAGCCAAACATGGATTACTTACCTCAGTAGCACATACAGTACAGAGCATATAGAAACACACACACAAACTCATCACAGAAACAAAGTATAACTGTATATATAACTTATTATTGTACATAATGTATACATTAATAAAGATGTATGGCAAAAATGGCTTGGTATTTGAGTTTTATTATGCAGTAACTGACTATGACTGAGGATACTTTTTTTTATTTATTTATTTGGGCTGATATCCGATTAAAGTTTGAGACAAGTGATTCTGAATTGAACCATCAGGACCCAAAGAGTATGGAACTTCTTTTGTAAGTACAATTTCATAGACTTGCACTGATGCAGTTATTTGATATATTTTGTGCTGGTATGTAATAAGTTGAAAGGCTGTTGACTAATGTTGACCACGTTCACCATCAGAGTTTAGCCCGTTAACATGCCAACATCTGCTAAAGAGAAAAAAACAAAACACAAAGTAAAGCTTGAGGATGAAGCTCATTACTTTTGCAACTATTAAGTCACGATAAATTAAAACGTTGTCCTGTTGATGACGTTACATGAAAGGTTTGAGTTTCATGGCAATCCATCGAAAACGTTTTTGAGATATTTACGTTTGGAGAAAAGTGGCGGACCGACTTCACCATCAATCGAGCAGCACAGCCAGCATGACTCAAAACGTCAATCTTAATTATGCCAATAAATCAAAACATGCTCTCGAAATCAGGGTTGAAACATGAAAAGTACAACGGCACAAAATCATTGGAGATCAAATAAAGTTCACATTTGACTTTTTACATCTAGTAAACAGAGAAAAGAGGATATTTTTGGCCTTCTCATTCAACCACCAGTATAACACTGATGAAATACATAAATGTATTGAGCCATATACATCATGTCAGAGGGTAATGAAACTGATATACAGTTTAGTAAATTATCCCATATGTCCATCCCAGACTGTCTGATTACAACAGAGGCCGTCAGGGTCTGTTCATGGCTTAGAGAGACCAAATGGAAAATTGCTAATCCCAACATTTCCCGGTTCATTCAACACTCATCCAGTTCATTATAGATCATTAAAAGAGGCATATTAACTGTGGTTCAACAAATGACAGATGACGTCATTGGAAAAAGTCTGCAGGACAAGATTAGTGGACTATAACTTCATTTAGGCACTAGTTCTCTCCCACAGTTCTATTTCATAGCATTATATATCTCAAGGTTTCCCCATGAAGTTATTTACCGCTGCCAAACGATAAAGAATAACAATTAACTTTGGCAAACTACATTTTCGAGATACTTGACTTCTGCATCGGAGTTTTAATATCAGAGGATTAGCAAAATGACGTAACTTGACCTGCACAAACACAAAACACTTCTCAACGTGGAGGAATTTTATGTAAATCCCTGTGCTGCACCACGCAAGCTGTGTTTTTATTTCCACCAACAACACATCAGCCACTCCAGTGGCAGCTGTCACCTCTGCGCACCGCTCTCTCATCGGGCTTTCACTATGTGGGTGCGTATTTGTGCCAACATTCCCAATGCCTTAGCTAAAAGATTATGTGTGTGTGTGTGCGCGCGTGCTGGCTGGGGATCATATGTCTGGTTCAGAGGAGGTCTGTCTGGCGGTGTAAATGTCAGTGATGCTGCTGTGGGGCATCAGGGCAGCATTGAGGGCTTTCTCTCATCATGTTTCAAAATTACCCAGAAATAATCCAATCCAAATCGAAGAGTCTTTTAGTCCGATAACACACACACACACACACACGTGCAGAAGTGTGTGTCTTCAGGGTCCGTTTTTGCGTCTTAAGAGCTTGGCATTGACTTTAAATGAGGATGAAGCCATAGAGAGACACTTCAGGGCAAGGAGTGCCAACCATGCGACTAATTAAACCTCTTCAGTCAGTAACACGTTCACCCTAAACACAGCAACTGCATGCAGACACTCATCCCCACCAGTCAACCGCAAACATCAAACAGCAGGAGTGCAAGTACTGTCCAGACCTCAGCCAGGTGTTTGGATTGGAACGTGCGTCTGTCTGGAGCGCTGGTTGAACTGTGTTTGCACTCTTAGTAATTAAATTGCTTTCAACAGCCATAGCTGCAGTACAACTTTGCTAATGTTTTTTTAAGGACATATCAGGAGTATCTAATAACAAGGGGAAACTGGCACGGAGGCAGTGCATATATTTGAAAATAAAAGTGTTTGGAACTGCTGTGGCATATACTGATGGTCAGCAACAAAGTGAAAGATCCTGCTTGAGTTTCTATCAATGTTGAACCGCCAAGCTGAGCCTGCCTGATTCTGTTCTCCCTCAAGCAGCAAATGTGTAAGTCTTTGGCGAGTATTTGTCATTTTGAGGAGAACATGTGTTTGAACCCCGACAGGAAGAGTTTGACATTTCCGGGAATGTGCATATATGCTTTCTTGCCGAAAGTTAGATGGGGAGATTGATACCACTGTGCATCAAGTACAAAGCTGGAGACTGCAATCGATTAGCATAAAGCTTAGCTTAGCATAAAGACCGGAATGAGGAGGAAATCATCAAAAGCCTTTGCTGGACAGATGGATTAACGGAATAAAATCAAATCGTTACACTAATTAGCCACCCATGAAACAATTAATTAATGTTGACATTGTACTAATTATAGGCGTTAGAGGTGCTAAGCTCAGCGCTTGCTGGATCTAGTGCCACATTTGAAGCACAGACATGAGTGATATCAATCGAACTCTTGGCAAGAAAGAGCAGAAACTTGAACAGTAATACTAAAGCGCATTTTCAGATGCGAGACTCTTATTCCATTTGAATGATAGTAAAGCAGAATAAAAGGAGTTAAAACAAGCAAGTGTGATCCCAGCCTGTCCACCATCCCCAGACAGCTGCTTCCACTCACAACTCCTTCACGCACTAGCTAATTTACAGTCAGGTATATTACCAGAGCTGCCATGTGCTCATTGCATTACTCAAGCAGCATATTTATACATATTGCGGCTGGTGGAAATAATATACATTTGGTGGTCTGCCACGTCAAATCACTGATTGACTTGACTTTATGGTCGTGCTGAAGTGGAACCGCTAATGTTTCCCCCTGCCAGCTTCCTCCCACCGACCAAATAACATTTTAATGAGGTTTACCAGCCAGACCAGAGCAGGGCCACTCTTTAGGGGTAATTTTCGGAATTTTTGGTCCAGTGAGAAAACCCCAAACATAAATCATGATCAGCGTTTAAAGCTGTGTGGGTGATGCTGTGCAGGGTAGGCAGAGTTAAGCGTGTTAGGGAACACGGAGCAGACACCGCTACGCCGACTGCAGCGCAGACCAGACTCAACTGAAGTCATGAAAGTAAATAAATCAGCCGTCGACAGTTCCTGGAGGAAAGCATGAACGCTATTATTCCCCGATAAAGTGATACTCCACCCAAAACCGATGCGAGGAGCAAACCGTAAGCTTAAAAAAGCAGCTGGAAGTTTGTAGATTCCTTCAGCATGAATTCATGTCAATTACAGTAAAATTCACAAAGTGAAAAGTAAAATAAATAAAAATATTCCATCATTTCCATCTCCACTGTCCGTCAACGTGCTCAGAGTGTTGTTGTTGTTGTTGCCCTCCTGAAGCCTCAAGATAAAAAAAAAAGTGTTAATTCCGCAATATGTTTATTCAAACTTTTAGGGTAGAAAATAACATTTATGGATTATGCAAAACCACAAATTCTGTTCCAATGTCATGTTTTTTTTCCCATCCAATGACAACATTTTTTAAATTCCCACTTTCTGCAATATCTGTGCATGAAAACGACGGTATGGTCAAGGTGAGGGACAGATCGTGTGGCAGATAAACTATGTAGAAGGTACGTTAGGGTTAAGCAACTAATAAAAAGTCAACTTTATATTGCACAAAAGTTAGACGTAAATAGTGAGGCGCAGTCGTCAAATAGGAGCAAATGAAGATGGTGGAAAGTCAGGACACAATTATGAGTTCATTCAAACCGCAATGAACACAGCCTAACGAATTATGTCTGTCTCAAGTGTTCATAACAAGATTGCTTAATTGGTTATCTGAGATTATTACATTTCTTAAA